TAGAGTTACCTGATGAAGAACAACGTTGGTGTCAGGAACAAGGTAATGAGGCTCAGGCACTAACTTGCTGTCACTAATTGGATTCTCCTCTAAAGGTTCTTTATCCATTGGCTCACAGTCTTCAGTGCAAGCAAGTGAGCCACAACTGATATCATCTCTCAAGTAGTGCTCTCTCACAATCTTCATCACCCCACCTAGTCTAGTCTTTTTTATAAAAACCTTACTGGTCAGCATTCTGAATAGGTTTGTCTAATGAGATAGATAATTTGATTATAGTTTTCCTCTGAGGATGGAACATCTTTTTAAAAACTGCTTTTTCTAAATTAAAATAGGTCAAGGTAATAAATTGAGATTGAGTATATAGAGATTTTGATGAAAACTGAGTTTTTATTTAATGCTAAAAATTTATTCAGGATAAATTCATAGGCTTATGTTGGTTCAGTGCACCACCTTGAGTTTCTGTGTAGGATTCTCTCCCTTATGTTTATTCTTGGAGTGTTACTATAGTTATATTTTCTTTGTTAAAAATATTAATGCGCAGATGGAAGGTTGTAAATCAATATTTCATTGCGTTGTTAATTATAATATTTAAAACAAGATTTAAAATTAAGCTAAATTTTGTAGCACATGTGCTTTAGTTAAGAGAATGGAGTGACTGCAGGTCATACACTGCTTGCATCATATCTAGAGTTAGAGAGATACAATAAAGTTGCTATGTTCACCAGGAAATGGTGGAGCCTGCAATAAAGTGTGTAAAAGGGTATTTTATGAAACTGTAACTTACAGTGTAAGTTGGTTTTTCATAATTAAAAAAAAATCTTTATTGCTTTTCTTCATATTTGTTGTTTATTAAAAATTTTTTAGCTTCAGTGTGTAGTGTAACTGTAGCACATGTGTTTTAGTTGAGGAAAGAGAATGAACGCAGTTCGTTGACACTTCTTGTCGCATATCTAGAGCCTAGAGGGATACAATAATGTTGCTACATTCGCCATGAAATTAATGTAAATTTACCAGCTAAAATTTTTTAATTAAATTTTAACGTTTTGTCTTTGTACATATTTTTGTTTCTCTCTGTAAGTGAAAGTAGCTAAATTGCACATTCTCTCTCTTTCCCCTCCCCATTATAGCAGACGTGTTGAAGTTTGCACTATGTTTTTTTTTTTTTATATGGCAACAACTTGGTGAGCCAAACCAACAATAAACATTTACCAGTCAAATATTCCTTCCTAATTTAAAAGGGAAGCGTTATTCACACAGCTCTGTGAATAACGTTTAGCGTTATCGGCAGACCGAAATCTGTGAATAACGGCGAGCGTTATCCACACAGCTCTGTGAATAATGTTTAGCGTTACCGCAGACCGAAATCTGCGAATAATCATATAATGCATTAGATCTAGACTGGTGAAAAATTATTGTTGGATGTAGGCTATTAATATTGGGGTTGAAATGGCTAGAAAGACTTTGCAATTGTATGCTAGTAATTAGTTTTTGTAGTGTTGCGTTTGTTTTAAATGTGGTAAATTATAGATTTGTTTTTTGTTGACATTGTACCGCGCTTCGAGCCTTTGGGGCTGAAGCGTGTTTTTGAAATGAACTTCATTATTATTATTATTATTAATATTAATATTACTATTAGTATACTGAACCGTCATGAGTTATTATCGAATTTTTTTCACTCTCAATTATAAAAAAAGGGCAAATTTATTACTAATATTAGTATGGTAATATCTGTATACCGGTAGTATAATAGTAATAGCCTATTACTATACTAAATATTATGCAGTATAAAGTATATACACAATTGTAGTATAAGTAATATACTTAGTTACTTAGCTTAATCAGTATACGCATACATGGGCGCCCGCAGAAAACTTTCGGGGGGGGG